ATTCCCTCAAAAAACAGAATGTTCCGGAATTTCAGACCCAAATAATAGTTTTGTATGGGGCGATTTAATACGTATGTGTACTTCAGATAAGAAATTTTCCCACTCCGAAGTTTATGAAGCGATCCAATCAACAGTTGCTTATATTCAAAAGAAAACGCCAATATGGTTACTAAAATATAAAGATTCAGAAAATGGGCTTTATTTTGATATAGGCTCCGAACTAAAGCTTGCTAAGTTTGAGATTGAAATGATAGAATATGGAGGTGAAACGGTGAAGTTAAAAACATTAATAGACCGAGCAGTTATTAAAGGTCTAATAGTTTACGAAGATTATAATTTCTTCCATACCATATTCCATAAACGCTCCTCAACCAGTTTCAGATTTCTTTAATATTTTCCTAGGGTTTTTGGCTGAATCGGTAACAGAAATCAACAGAGAAATTATGGATCCGATTCTCTGGCATGTACTAAATATAATTTGTGATGGGAACGAAGAGCTTAATGGGTATATCTGGAACTGGTGGGCGTATTTAGTGCAGAAACCAGAAAAAAAGCCTCGAACAATCTCAGTACTAAAATCTACGTTGCAACAGTGCGAGAAAAATATTATTACTAATTTTATTGGTGACAAAGTCTTGGGACAACATCTCCATTTTGCCACATCGGATTTAGAAAAAGTTCTTGGGCGTTTTAATAGCGCCATTCAAGCTCGAAAGCTCGTTGTTATGAACGAAACGGGAATGGCTAGTGGAGAATGGCATAGATTTTAATGGTCATCTCAAATCTCTTATAACAGAACGAATGATAGCTATAGAGCGTAAAGGTCTTGAAACTAAACGATTAAATGATTTCGCGGGATATATGGTTACAAGCAATCAGAAAGCCCCCCTCAAAATAGATATAGGGGATTCTCGTATAGTCTGTTTTGATGTATCTTCACGTTGTAGAGGTAATACGTATACCGGATTTTGACCGATTAGGGGAAATTTTAGACCATCCGGATGCTCCAGGAGTAGTGATGTCATATCTTCTTAATCGTGATTTGTCAAACTGGAGTCCAGGAAAAATCCCAGTTACTAAAATGAAAATAGATATAATATTAGCACAGCTCCCAACTCCAATTCGATTTATAATCGATCATATTTCCCTATGGCCTAAAGAACGAATTGAAAAAATAATTTATGGAAATCCATACGTATCAAGAGTATGTAACCTGGTGTGAAAGTAATGGAGAAAAAACAATATTTAATCTTATAAATTTTGGGAAAGAATTGAATTGCCATTAATAGGGATTGAACGAAAACAGGTACGTATTAATGGGAAACATGTACGGGTATATATTCTTGACCGATCCAAAATTGTGTCCAAGTTACGGGAATCAGTTGGCGCTATTGAAGAATTTTCAGATACACCTCAAGATGGGATATCCTCTAACACATCCACAGAAATTCCAATATTATTCAATGTACCAGAAATAATAATGCCCGAATCAGAAAAAGTAGAGAACTTACCCTGTCTAATACCGATCACATCAAAAAGGTAGGGGTACATCATTTATTTCGCCCGTTACTAACACGACCCAAGACCTCTTCGATTATACTGTATAACAGGTCAAGATGAAAGTTCAGTTGCTTCATCATCTAAGTCTACTAACATATCTCTGCCTCCCGAGATTGTGAATGTAGAACTTGTGAACAATGAACTCGAACCTTCTGAGGTTATTTCGTCGGTGGATGGTGTGGAAGAAAAGTTTCGAATTCCCAATTCACCCGATTCCTCTTCTGACTTACTTGCTAATGATAAACCCAAGGCCAATAACGAAGAATCCAATACCCAATCAATTTCATATCCGTCCGGCTATTTAAACCGGAAACAACGAGAGACTCGACTCCGTCAAAAAGCCATTAAACTTGGTGAAGATCCCAACGAATTCGTTGCTATAAATGAAAAAGATAAGCTCGATTCCATAGCTTTCCGTGATAGAATGCAGACTGATGCGAGGCTGAAGAAGATCCCAGTGAATATATGGACATGACAGTGCGAGAAAGAAAGATTAACAAGTGAAGAAATAATCCGCCGTTCTCTCGAGGAAGATGGAATTATCTCATCGTGGCTGGATACTGATGAGGACTGGAAAAAGATAGTTAACATACTCCAGGAAAATGGTATGTTATGGTAATTGCTAGTCGATAAGGGTGAATAAGTGAATTTCGCATGTAGGGGATTTTTTGTTCCTATTGCTTTGCAATAGGCTTCGCCCTACAAACTAGTTAATATAAAATTTTCAGATAAAAAAAATATTACGCAAATTCTGTTATATATACTAGTTTTTGTGATGCCTAAAAATTTTAGTTAATTCTCTATCCTCGACTTTGATTTTAAATATGAAAGTGAATATAGAATAATAGCGGAGCTAGTGACAAGACATATAAAATGCCTTGTAATTGGTTATTAGTTGGAGACGTCAATTTATGTAAAAACCCTGCAAAGGGGCAATATTGCGCTTCTCATGCATTCAAAATTCGAAAGGGTGTAATAATTCCCCAGCAATGTAAAGGATGCGGACGAGGGACTAAATCGAGCCTTCAGCTTTGTGTCCCGTGTGGCCAAGGTAAGGAAAGAGCGTATAAATATTACAAACAAAAATGTGTAAGAGAAACTCTGCGTGCTTAATATCTGTATATGCAAACTAATTTACTAGATAAGTATTATCATCTATTTTTCCTATTGCAAAGCAATGGGTTTCGCCCTACACAATCCGGATCTTTGAAAAACAATCAATTAAACTTATCATTTTCATAAGTAGCAATCAACTATTATCATTTTCATAACTAGTAACTCCCAATGGAAACACCTCAGAAAGTAGTCAACTTATTAATCAAGAGAGAGATCGATCGCAATGGGCCAACATTCCGCAAACTAATGCGCAATGGTTTTAGATACGTAAAAGATTTAGCCGAATTTCTACAATTATGGATTATCATCCTGAGCAAATTAGATTCATGAATGCTCTGTCCCATCCAGCTATGGTACCACCAATTGATATAGACCCGATATTTATAAGTGGTTTATAAGTATAGAAACATACCGGAATCTATTCCAAGCAATATACTAAAAAATAAATCATAACCTTAATATAACTTGGGCTCCTACCCCGAAGTTATAATTTTTTTGTTATATCCTATGTACTGTAATAGTAAATTTCAAATTGATGTCCCGGTTACCTCATGTAAGCATATACTCTCTTTTTCTAAGCATGGGGGTAATTAATTTCGAATTGAAAATATATTTCCCATAACATATACTCAAGACGACATAACCTAGTTGATACAAAATTTGTCAAACAATACAATCTCAACCCGCAAATGAGTGATTCAGAGCTTAGTAAGTATGTACCAGAATTACTTAAGGCCCTCCCAGATCGTAAGAAGAGAGATCAGGAAAGGCGACGCTTTCGGGATGGATATAATTTTAGCAATGAACAAGTATATTAGTGCCTAGTCAGAAAATGGGTAAAAGCAAAACTATAAACCTTGTAGTCTTAGATCGAACTCCAGTTGGTTTAATGAATAAAAATATTAGAGAGACGATCATACAAAATTTGGAAGAAGAGTCTATCGAAGAGCTGGCACAGCGAGTTTTACGAGATAGACTTAGCATTAAGGATGTGAAGGCTTCAGCCCATATCTTAGCTCTATCGGCACCAAATCCCAGTGCGGGTTCTTCCCGGTTATCACGACTCAGAAGAGAACTAAGAAACCTGGGTGCTTCATACGAAATCATCAATGCTACCAAATTTCCCGATATTACAAAGGCGGCCAATGAGATTCAGCAGAATCGATGTAAGTTTGCCGAAGCTTTCGAAAGAATTGATTATCCAGATCATTTTACATTAGAATCAGTCAAAGAGAGATTGGATAATTATGATACAACCACTTTACCTGATTTGCAAGCTCTTGCAGATGTTATGATAATGCTTTGTATCCGCCCTACTGAGATTATATCTTTGCGAATTACAGATGATGGAGTTACAGGCTATGCAAAGAATCGGGGACAGCCAGACATACCTCGAAAATTTATATCTATAGAAAAGAATCAAGAAAGAGCCAGAGAATTGCTTACTTGGATTCAACATGCAATATCCTCCGGACGAATGAGTGATCCAGGGAAACTAGGATGTAAATGGTTTAATAAATTCCTAAAAAATTATAATCTTATACCTCGCCACTTACGTAAAATTGGAGCAGTTTATGCCGTAGTAACACATGGTGCCAAGAATTTAGCTCATGCTATGACAATTGCTGGACAAGCACTCCGCCATGATACAAGAAACCATACTTCACCAGTTCAGAATTACGTTGTAGTGAATCATCGTCCGAGAAACACCCCTCCTGAACATGCAAGACCATTCAAAATCTATAATCAAGATTAATTACACTTCTCCACACTCTGTAACTGGAAGACGAATTTCTTCAGGACTAAAACCTATATACTTAGAAATCAGCAAATAACTCGAGAATTCTCCAGCCAGGATCAAAGCTCAGAAAATATACGATTTATTTAGTGAAATTGGTGAGAGTATGATTCAACAGGTTAAATCTTTACAGCATCGTCAATTTCAAAAATGATATCGATACTGTATTAGTTCACGCCAAGATACAAGCAATCTATATATGTTACTGCGTCACTGCCACGTGACATTGTGATTGCTTGTCACATCTATCCGTCCATTTTTAAGCATCGTTATACTTTAATAAACTAGCCCCACCAGGTTTTTGTTTATGACTGATTGACGAAGTGTATGCATACCGGCGTGAGCCGGCATTAAGTGTTGATATAGTGGATTTTTTCAGACATTTTTTTCTAAAATTTAATATGCTAAGCCTTGATGTCATATATTTCGTTTATTGCACATTGAATAATGTAATAAATAAATTTCGTACAAAATAGATTCTCGTCTGTTTTATTATTTGGAAGTTGATGCGTAATTAGAACTGAGACTAACTAGATTAGCAAATACATCATAATTTTTCCGAATGTAATATTCTATTGATTGCGATTGGAAACTCACAGTATCTCTTGATGGATGATATGCAAACACGTTAGCTTCTAAAACTTCCCCATATTCCTCTTCATTCGCAAATAATTTTTTAAATTCTTTAATACTAATTTCTTTGGAGCCCAGCAAAGCATTAATTACGCGTTTTCCTGCTTCATGATGTTTCTGATCTTCAAGTAGTTTTGCTAAATTAAATTTCTTGCCGGTTTCGATTAATTTTTTCTTCTCGATATCTATAGAAAATGAGATAGGCAGTTAATCCAAAGCAGAATTATGTAAATTACGAAACTTTATTCATACCTTCAATGGATTTTTTTGACAAAAAATCATTTGCAACATCTTTCAACTCTAAAATGCGTCCACCAACTACAGTCAGCTCTCGATAATTGTCTTGTTACGCAATTTTCTAAGTTAAGCTATATTAGTGCGCATTGCTATTTTAGTTATTGTGTCGATGATCTTCGGATTTCCGAGAACCGTGTATTTAGCTCTAAATACTCGGTTCTATAACCGAAATACCCAATTCGGAAAGTTCAGTAATTTAAATATAGAGGTGTTTTCATTATA